GTATATCTTAAATTTTTCCTCAAGAAATTTTACTTGAAGTCCTTTAAAAGTCCTATAAGAAAAGACATTTTAGTAATTTTATGTTTTCAGTATTCTTTGGAAGTTATTTTTGGTAAGCACCATAACATCCTGTTATTACCAGAGAAGGTACCACATTTACCATCTCCATAGTAGCAAATGTCCACATAATGCTGTCTATTGACATGGAGATGTGGCTATAAAATATATGTGTGATAAAGAACATGGTTGACGTGTTGTCTGGACAAATAGCAAAGCTGCTTAGTGAACAGTTTTCATTTAGCAAGAAGGACACCTGAGTTGTTTCTTGTACTGTCTGTGAAAAAATTATGAATTACAATTACTTAAATGTTGACATTGATTGAGCTTCTATCTGGCACTTGGGGCAATATAAGTGCCTCCCAATCTTCCTCATTACTAAGTAATCTAATCATCCCCATTTACTCCTTATAACAAGCTATAATGTGGAGTTATTACCGATTATCGTTATTTTCCAGATGGGAAAAATTCAAACACAGAGAAATGAAGGAACTTGCTTGAGGTCATGTGACTGGTAGACAGTAGAGCCAGGATTTGGACCCATGTCCAGATCCTACAGCCTTTACTACCATCTTGCACAGGACGCTGCTCAGGGTTTCTTCTCATATCCAGAAAAATCACTTAAAAATCAAGTGAAATGACTGTCTGTAAACTGTTCTTTGAGTATGGGTATCACAGACATATAAAACGTTATTTCAAATTAGATGGCACTGCATATGACATTGAGTTCTCCCACCCTAAGAAACATTGGAATTTATTAATATAGAGACAATCATTATTATCATTGTTATTTCATATTGTTCCTGAAAATTATTATTTCACACTATTATCTCAGGTTCAATTGGCTGCTAACATTGATCACCCATTTTTTTGTTTGTTAGTTTTGCGCAAGTCACTTAAATTGTACTGAGCTCCCTTTATAAAATGACTGTGTGCTGGGCAGAATTCTAAAGGTGCTCCCTTTCTGTCTCCTGGTTCTTGAGTCAAGCACTAATTTAGCTACCGCTGTGAAGGGGCTTTGTGGATGGAATTAAGGTACTAATCAGTTGACCTTGATATAGGGAAATTATGCTGGATTACTTGGGAAGGTCCAAAGTAATCACGGGAGTCTTTAAAAACAGAAGAGGGAGGCAGAAGAGAGCATGGGGACTACCTGAACCTCCACTGTTGTTGCTGAGATGCTGGGACCAGGTACTAAAAGTCCATAAAGACCTCTAGGAGAAAAGGGCAGCTCCAGGGGACAGCCCCCAAGGAAATGGAATCAGACCAGCCATCTGAATGAACTTGGAAGCAGATTCTTTCCCCTGAAGTCTCCAGTAAAGAACACATCTCTACTGATACCTTGATTTTAGGAAAATGAGATCCATTTGGACTTCTTACCTACAGGCAGTAACTGGCACTGTCACTATGTGTGATAATTTGTTTGGGCAGCAACAGAAAACTAATTCAGAGAGGAAAGCATCAAGTTCAAAAACTGTGTGTCTGCTGTTACAGTCAACAGAAAACAAAATAAGAGTAATTTGAATGGAACAGCAATGGAATGCAACACTCTGAAAAGGGGGCTGGAGACAGTTTCTTGTATTATTTACCATTGACTTTGGAAGGTTTACTGTATTTTTAAGATGAGAGAGATAAGAATATGTCTGAATGTTAAAAGAAGTCAGTAGGACGGGAGAGGTTGAAGATACTGGGTGCAGGGGGTGGGTGGGTGGGGTGGGGTGGAGGAGACAAACTGAAGAAATGAAAAGGACTAGGATGCCAAGGACAGATGGAAGGATTAGCATTGGAAAGGAGAAAGGCATCTTCCTTTAAAGGGGAAGGAAAAAAGAAAGGATGAATCCAAAACCAGCTTGGTGTGTGGGTAGGGTGGCAAGAAGCTGCAGATGATCCTGTCTAGTGCCTTCTACTATCATCTGAAATCAGCTGCCGAGAGCAACCAGGAGGTGGAGTCAAAGGTTTGATGAGCTTGGAGACTTGACATTGATTCCATCAACAATGGAAGAGACCACGTAAGGACGCCTGAGGTGATGGCTGGGAGGAACTGAAGTTCCAGGACTTTGGAGCTCATGGATGGACGATGGCCTGCCCCATCTGCGGGGCTGGGAAATCTTAGCATTGATCAGACGGTAGCGTGGCTGTAAGGAATGCAGCTGTTAGATTGGCTCAGCGGTGGAGTTTCCTGCCTGGCAGAGGCAGTGGTGTGAAGGGCTAGAGGATTATGGAAATGTGTGATACAGGTGACAGACCATTGATTCTAAACTGAGTGAGGAAGGGAGGAGAACGTAGGGAAATGCAGGTTAGCAGGGGCAGGAGACTCAATTTCCTTCTCAGTGCTGATTAGCTGTGGAAGTCGTACTATTTGTACAGCCAAATTTGTTACACCAGCAATATCTCTCAGAGCTCACTTGACTAGTCTTCCCTGTCAGAAAAACGAGTTCCATCCTCCAGGGGTCTGATGGTTTTAAAGTATTATCCTTAAAGAGAGTCTCATTTAGTGGCTATTCTCTGGATACCCTTAAAGAGAGTCTCATTTTCTCGTTTAGTGGCTGTGGTCTTGGTATAATTTATAATTTATTTTCCTCCATCCCACGAGGCCTTCTCCATATAGGCTTTATAAAGATGATAATAGCTAATGTTTTTGAAACATTACTATGTGCCGGGCACAGTGCAAAATGTTTTACACGAATTATGTCATTGAAAACTCATTAAAACAAAACAAAACTCAGACGTTTGTCCATTTATTCTACTGATGAGGAAGTTGAGACTTCAGTGGGGGGAGGTATGTGTCCAAGTTCAGAGTATCAATTAATGGTACAGCCTGAACTATCAGACTTCACAATGCATGATGTTTGCCATAAGGCCACACTGTGGGTTCAAATGACACAAGACTAGGAGGCAGATCAATACATGACTATTAACTGGATACGTCTATCCAGATGACAAAGAAATTGTAGTGACAAAAGCTGCCTGACCACTCTAATGTAGCTCTATGAAGAGGACTTTCCTTTCTCTTTTCTCAGTCCTTCACTGGCAATCAAATATTAAATTTAGAGGTTTTGTACCCATGAAAATTGAGCAGGGATTTATGAAAAAAATAATACATCTGTTATCCTTTAAGTGCTAACTTTACTGGTGGGAGGAAGGGAATATACAAGAGAGAAACTCTTGATGAGTCTGATTTTTTCCCACAGAATGGATTCTAGTTGTAGGAAATATTTAGGGCAATTGTCATAGATTGTGAAGTTGGAATGTGGGTGTGTAAAGGAAGAGGTAATCAAAGGCGAAAGATATAAAATGGTATATGTACACCATGGAATACTATGCAGCCATAAAGAAAGATGGAGACTTTACCTCCTTCATGTTTACATGGATGGAGCTGGAAAATATTCTTCTTAGCAAAGTATCTCAAGAATGGAAGAAAAAGTATCCAATGTACTTAGTCCTACTATGAAACTAATTTATAGCTTTCATAGGAAAACCATAATCCAATTTTAGCCCAAGAATATGGGAAAAGGGGAGAGAGAGGGGAGAGGAGGGAGGAGGATGAGTGGAGGGAAGGTGATTGGTGGCATCATGCCTATGGTTCATCCTATAAGGGTACATGTGAATCTCTCTACATGTAGAATATAAATGTCTTAACACAATAACTAAGAAAATGACATGAAGGCTATGTTAACCAGTTGGATGAAAGTATTTCAAATTGTATATAGAAACAGCACTCTGTACCCCATGACAGTATTAATGTACACAGCCATGATTCAATAAATAAATAAATAAAAATAAAAATAGAAAAAAAAATCTGGAGGGAAACCAGAGTACCGTACAGGAAGTAGTGTTAACATTTGTGAGCGGCTGATGAAAGGATGTGCTGAACTAGAATGCTAAGCCATCACTAGCGTTAAAATAAGTCAATGTTATTAAAGCACATTGGCCTATAGCTGGTTGCTTATTTATTGTTAGTTGGGTCAGTCACCAGTTCCTTTAAACTTCAAGTGTGGTCTCTCATGAGATTGTCAGAGTCTAGCCTAGACCCAAAGTGTAGAAGCAGACCCTACTCTAACAGGATCCTGCAGGGTGGAGGGGCTGGTACGCAGACTGATGTTTCAAAAACATTCCCCCCCTCGAACCCCCCACCTCCCTGGTCCATTTGTTTCATTCAGCTTCATGAGAAATACTGATACATTAATTCCATCACAATTTACACAAGCATTTTAATTAAAAGAAATTTTATACAAGCATTTTTAATTAAAAAGAATAAAATTTATACAAGCATTATTAAAGAGAAATTTTAAAATACTTGATTCATTTTTGATTCTCATTAATTTATAAGAGTTTTATTTCTATTTATTAATAAGACAACTGAAGAGCAGCTAGCTCATTTTCCAACTTTCTCAGAGTTACGTAATTTGACAATATATTCACACAGAGCTCCTTTCTTCCTCAGGATATTCTTTCCTGCTAATTTATTCTCATGCAATGCCTAGAGAGTAGGACTTAGAACAGTTAAATAAAGAAACGGTACAGTCTCTTAAATTCTGAAACTCTCCCTACCAGGGATGAATAATCTGGCCCTGAAAGATTCATGGAAAGTGAATAAGATAGTTATTTGAGAGTGGCCAAATTCAGTGTCAAGGTTCTTAGCTAGGGCCTGTGTGATGAAGACCGATTTGAATTCCAAATCAACGCCAGCTCCTTCCTAATAGATCTATCAGTCTGAGCGAGGACATTAGCCTGGTGCATCAGGTCTTCTATTGGAAAGAAAAATCAGTAACTGCTCAAAAGTCATGCACCTGCTTCAGTATTGAGAGCCCCCTGACATTTATAAAGCAAGATGTTGGCTGTTAATCCACATTAGACTTTAAATTCAGCCAACATGGAATCTGTTACTTTACAGCCAATTCTGAGCTATTGTTCACCTTTATATGTGTCGTTTGGGATTTTAGATCTTTGGATACTTCACCTCTGAAGAAGATTCTCTTGCTGCCCAACTTGATGAAGAAAATTTGATTTTCCTTGTGTCTAGGAAACAGCGAGTTGTAATTTCAGGTAACATTTTTAATTCCCTTCCAAATTAGCATGAGTTTGAGTATTTCAAGAATAGATTTTGGGACTACAATGTTTCCATTGAATCACTTTTGATTTTATATATTTGCTCAGTATTTTATAACTGGAAGGGGGCAAGTGGCAGTTTCATATGCAGTATCGGAAGAAACTCTACTACAGTTGAAATTGAAATACTATCATTGCTCTGGAGGATAATAAATAAGAAATGGAAGGGGGAAAAATCATTCTCCTGAAAAGACTCAAACCTCTCTACAATGGTATCTTAATAACGCAAGTTCCAGTATCAACTAGAATCATGTTTCTTTACTTTTTTTTTGAGACAGAATCTCAAGCTGTCACCCTTGGTAGAGTGCTGTGGCATCACAGCTCACAGCAACCTCAAACTCTTGGGCTCTTTGCACAAGTCATTCTCTTGTCTAAGCCTCCCAAGTAGCTGGGACTACAGGTATCCGCCACAATGCCCAGATAATTTTTTTTGTTGCAGTTGTCATTGTTGTTTTAGCTGGCTTGGGCCAGGTTCAAACCTGCCAGCCACGGTGTATGTGGTTAGCACCCTACCCACTGAGCTACAGATGCTGTCAAGGATCATGTTTCTTTTAAAATATTCTTAAAATTGAGTTTTTAATTTTTCACTAAAAAGAACTCCTCCCACATACTTGTCTCCCCTTGACGATCCTACAGTTTAGCCTTACATCTCTGACATGTGAGTTTGGGCCAGTTGTAGAGGGATGTTGTCTCAATTTAGGAGGTCTTTTTTGTGTGTGTGTGCCTGAGACCCAGGAACTCCCATCCCTCTCCACTGTGGACACGATGGGATTTTCTTCCCTTTCTTCCCTTCTAGGTGGGAGAAGTTCAGGAAGAAGAAAGGCAACCCCTCAAACCTACTCCCATCCTCCAGCATGTCATCCCATGTTCTGACATGAAATGTGTACTCTAGATCAAATCCACTGTGCTTCAGTGCTTGAGATCCACACTTACCTTCACCCTTGGCACTTCCTTAGCCCACATAGGTCTCTGCAGAGCCCAGCCTCTGCCCTTGGGAACAGAATGAATAAGTGTCCTTATTCATCAAAGAACAGATACTAAAGGTTTGTCCCTGCTGCCACTATATGCTCAAGGGGGGCCCAGTGACCATGGAAGAGCGTGGCTGGCCTCCTCCCTCTGGATGGGAGTTGGGGGTCCAGGAGCCTTTCTCAGACACAGCAGTGAGCAAACAGGCACGAACCTCTGATATCACAAGGTTTACATTCCACTGGGGAGAGCAGACAACCAAAACATCAAACTAGTAAAATAGTATGTCAGATGGTAATACGTGCTACAGATAAAAAGTAAATAAGTGAGTTATGGAGAAAAATAAAGCAGGAATGTGGGAAGAAGCTGGTTTGGGGATGGGAGACCTACTCATGTCCTCCCCACCAAGAACTAATGCGCACCCCTTTGAGAGCAGTATCTTCCCTGCGGAGATGCGGGGATGACAGTGGTGACACTGGAGTCTGGATCTGTTCCCTTGCCTTTCTTCTCTGAGAGTTTACAATTATAAACATTAATACCTTGGGAAGAAGCCGAATATTTACGGCTTTGTCATTCAGTGCATGGGCATAGCAATATGAAAGTGTTGTTTTTTTTTTTTCAAAACACACAAGGTTACAAAAAAAGCCTTACTCACAACATTAAAGTACTGTAGTTCCAATCTTTTATACTAGAAAGCCTGAGATAGTATTAGGTTTTTATTATGTGCAAACTACTATGATAACAGTTCAAAAAAAGGATTCTTAAGAGATGTGAAAACCAAAATCTCAAAATAGAAAAGATTCCAAAAGACGGTTCATTCTCTGAAACGTGCACACATGCTCGGGAAAGTCATGCGCCACATTGAGTCGGTAAGCTCTATGTTCAAATTAGTAACTCTGGGGGTAATTACAAGCAATGGTTGCTGGGTTTATGGCTTTTTTCTGCTTTAATTTTTAAGTAACTTAGGGCTTTCCAGAAAAATGTGGGTTATTTTTTTTTCTTTCTTTTTTTTTTTTTTAAATTAAACAAACCTAGCAAAGGCGCTTTGGGGTCTTTACTGCTGGAAGTTGCAATTAATATTATGACATTGACAGGTAGTAGCAGACGAGATGTAATCAAGTGCATCGTCAAGATTCCTCAACTGGATTTACTGTTAACAGCGACTCAGAAAGGATCTATAGCAGTCTTTAACAGCCAGGTAACATGAAAGCTTGAATTCCTCCTCCCCCACCCCTCCACTCACTCTGTCCCCTTCCCTTCCGCCCTCCCTTCCTTCTTTTTTGTTTTCTTTACGAGTTACGCAGTTATATGTGTATATCAGGTAAGTAACAGAGCAGAAGTCACAAACCACATTTCAAACTTACTCTAAATAATAAAGCCAGATATTGAGCACGGAGGAGACTGATGGACGACAGGGTAGTTTTTGGACTGATAAGCGCATTTGGCATTGTTCCTCTGGGGGTCAGGTTGAATTACATGGCACTGACACAATTAAAGGATGATCTTAGACAATTTCTCAGATAAAATCAGAAACATTCACAAGCCGAGTGATTAGATCATCACCCTATCAAGTAATAAAAGGTCCCATCAAGGTCCCATCAAGACTCTTGGACTTAGAGTTAAAAAAAAAAAAAAAGCCCAAATTCTAGCACTTCTATTTAAGTAGCTATGGCATCAAATAGGAAACTGATGAGCCATTTATATCTTTTCACATCTCTTTTTTCACATCTGGAAAATGAGGACAATAGAACCAGTCCTCTCTGCCTCAGAGGACTGTAGTGAATGAAGGTCAAACGAGATAATGAATGTAGCAACACTTTATGAGCAATAAAGCTCTATATAAATGTAACACATCACTTTTATCAATGTCATTTCTTGAACTTCCACTTTCAAAACACAGGAGATTTCCACAACACGTATGATGATATGCCCTACATAGTACTTTACCTTGAAAGTAAAAGGTGACTGGTATTAAATGTGAAAGAAATTCTAACTTTTAGTTCATTTCCAACTGGAGACCAGCTTTACACAAGTAGATATGTTTGAAATAATCACCACATGATTCAAATTTCCACAATATTCTTCAGCTCTTAGGTAATCTCTAGCCCAGGGAGTCTTTTCAGAAGTTGAAGTCATAAGGTAGCAAGACTATCAAAGGAGATTGTCATCTGGACCCCTGGAAGTGGAGCAGTGGGGCCTTCAGAGTGTGGCTATGGAGTCTGGATTTAGCCTGGCGCACAGAATAGCCCTCCCTGGATATGTATTTTATTTTATTTATTTATTTATTTTTTAGACAAGCGTCTCAAGCTGTCACCCTGGATAGAGTGCTGTGGCATCATAACTCACAGCAACTTCAAACTCTTGGACTTAAGCCTTAATTCTCTTGCCTCAGCCTCCCAAGTAGCTGGGACTACAGGCACCTGCCACAATGCCCAGCCAACTTTTTGGTTGTAGTTGTCATTGTTGTTTGTCAGGCCCAGGCTGGATTCGAACCCACCAGCTCTGGTGTATGTGGCCGGCGCCTAGCCTCTGAGCTACAGGCACTGAGCCAACCCTCCCCAGATATTTAAGTGAGTTAATGCTTATTCAGTGCTTAGCATCCTTGGAAGCACTCATAGATGTAAGCAATTAGTAACTAATCTGAAGATAGTTAATTTTTTAAACAATACTTTCTCTCTAACTGCATTCTCTTATTAGAAACAGAAATGAGTGTTTGCACATTTGTTAGTACATGTGTTTGCACCTTTAAGTTAGGTGCAAACTTGATGATGTGAAAATGATGCAAAAAATGATGAATTTGCCTCATTTAAATATAAAAAGCTTCTCAATCTTTCTCTCTGCGAATTATTTCCCTTCTTGTCAATTTACTTTTATTTCCCCCAAACCAGAACTAAGGTGGTATCTAAAAACTAGTGTGAAGAGGAAAATAGTGATCTATTCTATAATGAAATAGCTCAGGATTATGTGAAATAAGTCAGGTTGCATTTTCATATCTCCAGACGTGCCTCACACACACACACACACACACACAAACCTGGGCATGCGCTCACTCCTACACACACACACACACACACACACGCATGCGCCTAACTTAAAGGTGCAAACACATGTACTCACAAATGTGCAAACACTCATTTCTGTTTCTAATAAGAGAATGCAGTTAGAGAGAAAGTATTGTTTAAAAAATTAACTATCTTCAGATTTGCTACATGAGGAATCAATAGCATTTTATTATCATCTGCCTTACAAATAAGGTAACACATTGAGTGAGAAAAGTTAAGGTGAAAGTGTAGGTCACAGGAGTAATTTATTAAAAGGTAGCCACTAATAACTCAAAATCTTCTGTTAATCCATAATTTTGGCTCTATCTGAAGTATAATAAATACAGTGAAGGATTTTCTTGAGGATATAAAGTGTGAATGTTATCAATAAAAATTCCTGCAAAGCAAGATAGTAAAAATTCAGAGTATACCTAAGGATGATGTAACTTTTCAAGAAGGGAAGAGGGCTTTACACAATGACTTCCACCAAAGCTGGATGCAGAGAAATTGCAGAAGAAACCGCAGGTGGTACGTTCTGCTGCTCATCAGTTTCCTTACGATGCTTTATTTCTCCCATCCAGAAATAAGTCCCTGGTGAGAAAAATTTCTTTGAACTTTTCAGATGAAAGACAGTCTGCAGGTAGCCATGACTAACAGTGATTTTTTCTGATCTGCTTTTTAAAATTTCATACAATCTATTTCTTCTGGGCAGCTAGCTAATTCCCAAGGCCATGAGAGCATGCAAAAGAAACAAGGTCATTGAAATAACTTCAACTACCGTGTTTCCCTCAAAATAAGACACTGTCTTATATTTATTTTTTCTCAAGAAGACACACTAGGGTTTGTTTTCAGGGGATGTCTTATTTTTATTAAGTATAATACAACAATCTGCATTTATTCAAATAGAGTTAAGTCATCTTCTTCTGGAACCTGACAGGGGGAGCCGACCTTGTTGATGGGGCTGGCACTAGTGATGCATGAACTCTTTTCCCCTAGCCATTTGCATGTGCGCAATAGGATGCCTGCGAGGGCAGTTACCCCCCCCCCCACACACACACCTGCACAAGTGAGAAGGGCTGGGAGAAAGGAGCTGTGGCAGATAAAAGGAATTCCAGTCTTCCTTACTGCTCCCAGCTGAAATGCAGGGTGTGGCTATGCAGATACAATGTATAGCCACGCCCATCATTAGGTCTTATTATGGGGTAGGGCTTATATTTAACAAATGCATAGAAATCCTGCTAGGGCTTATTTTGGGGGTAGGTCTTATTTTCAGGGAAACACAGTACTTGCCTTCATCTTGGGAACAATTATCATGCCTCAAGGGTACGAAAGGCTGCTCATTATTTACACTAGCTCTCTTGCCTGGGATAAATCTATGAGTCTCGACCAGCATAGTCCCCAGGGCATGATATTCACTCAATAGACAACTTAATAAATGAAAGAAGGGGCCCTTCAGCTAGAATGTTCTTTAAGTCTCTCAATAACTTGGAGAGACAGTTTTCTAATGAAATAATGCTATTTTTTTCTACATTGCTCTGTATTTTTATTGATCTATTTAGTATTTATACAACTCTCTTGCCATTGCTGTTAGTATTATTTTGCATTCCCAACTTTTGGTATCAAAAGTTCCTCTGAATAACTAAAAAATGTGAGGTGGTTTTCATGTGGAAGGATTGAGATAATTAGTACAGCCTAAGATTCTTAAGAGCAGGCCCAAAGATCAGTCATAGAGACATAAGTCTTGGCCAAAGCAATGTGTACTATTCCACAGAGCTAGATGTTTTAGGGCTGTGGTTCTCAACCTTCTTAATGCCGTGACCCTTTAACACAGTTCCTCATGTTATGGTGACCCCCAACCAGAAAATTATTTTCGTTGCTACTTCATAACTGTAATTTTGCTACTGTTATGAATCATAATGTAAATATCTGATATGCAGGATGTGTTTTCATTGGTCGCGACCCACAGGTCGAGAACCGTTGTTTTAGGGGAAGGAGGCTCATGGAGGACTGGATGGCAAGTGAGATGAAACCAAGGAGATACTGTGTTGTTTTAGAGGCAGCATTCACATCTCTAATTGTAGTGTCAATTGTGTTTGATTATTCTTTTCCTTTGTTCATAGATGAAAGTTCAGACAAGCACCAGTATTACCGTAAGTACAGTCTTAAAAGTCTTAATTAAATCGAAATTGGGGCTATGATGATGTTTCCTTCAAAATTCATCACCATCTCAATGAAGTGCCTTAATAGGCTCTAAGCTTGTTTCATACACTGCAAATTTACATGTATTAATTAGGACTGAAACTAAGATTTGAGCAACAGCAAAGAGGACCCAGGTCTTATTTTCTAGAGTTAAACTGACTACAGGGAGTTGCTTGGAAACTGGTTACTCCGTGGAAGCTTCAATTTATAAGCTTCTCCTAAGCTTTTCTGAGCACTCACTATCAGGGAAACTAAATAACGAACACAACTTAAACAATGAGAACAAAGAGGTGGCCAATGCAAACAATTTGAAAACGTTTTAATTTAAAGTTGAAAGCAGCATTAAAAATTCTAGTGCCATTTTGTACTTCGTTTGGTCTATATCGCTAATCAGAATAGTGACCTTGCAGCAGGTGGGGGTAAAACTACCGTGACTTGCTGGCAGACTCCCACCGTGTATTTATGAGAGACAGGAGAATGATTGACTTTTCACCCTGCTTGCATGCACAGAATGCACTCAACTACAAAGCAGGGCGCCATACTGCCTGGCAAAGGAGTTTGGATTCTCTTTAAACCTCAGAGCCTGCATTTCTTAATCTTAAACACCAAATTAGAATTTCCAATGTTGGAAACCTTTTACAGAAGGTTCAGGACACGCTGGCAATGCATATAGCTCATGAATGGGAGATCCTAGCCATGCTAGCTTGGTGTCTTTCAGCCCTATGCAAGACAAATTCATTGCCTTCAACTTATCGTTGACCTAAGATCTTTTCTAGTTAAAAATTTTAGCATGGGGTCAGGGCCAGAGAGCTTGTTCCATCAGTGACCTAAGTCCAGTCTCCCTGTGCCTCTGGGAAGAGTGGTCTCACAGCAATGAATAGTGCACAAAGATGTCCTGCCAACTGCATGGAATTTCAGCTGTAGGTGAATCATTGCCCAGATAATGGTACTGAGAAACACAGGTCGGGCTAAAAGGGGGAAAAATGGGAGCCTCCCACTCAACACCTCAGACAGGATGAATTGCGAAGTTCCTCTGTAAATAAGGCAGCAAAATGAGGCTTTTATTAGACTATAACTACCTAGTCTTTATTAACCAACACCATGTCATAGAAGGAAATTCATTATGTCTTCCAATTCCATGCTTTTCCATCAGGATACCTCCTGGATTACAGGATGTGATTACCTGTCACAGCTGAAACGAATTGTTGCCACTACAGAAAGGACCATTATTGTCTGGGATTACAAAGCTCAAGGGAGCAGCCAGGTACTGTGCTAGAGAAATACTCAAAGAAATGAGATCGCCTTTTCAGTCCTGGTAGGATGTGAGCAGTCCACTCTCTCTGTGGAATGTCAGTTTCTGCACAGGTAAAATGAGAGGGTTTAATTAAATAATCCTTTAGATCAGCAGTTCTCAAACTGTGGGTCACGACCCACAGGAACTGTATTAAAGGGCCGCGGCATTAGGAAGGTTGAGAACCACTGCTTTAGATCAAATTCAGCATTAATATTCTGTAATTAAATGTTCCTTCCATGAAGTATATATTTAATTTGGGGCTTTTTGTTTGGTTTGGTTTGGTTTTTGAGAGCAAGAGAGAGGGTAATTCCTTTCTTCTTTTATCTCTTTGCCTGAATCCAAGCATTACATTCCTTTTTTTTTTTCCCTCTGAGACAGTCTCACTAATGTCACCCTCGGGAGAGTGCCATGGCATTATAGTTTACAGCAACCTCAAACTCTTGGGCTTAAGCGATTCTCTTGCCTCAGCCCCCCAAATAGCTGGGACTACAGGTGCTTGCCACAACACCCCAGCTATTTTTTGGTTGTTGTTGCAGTTGTCATTGTTGTTTGGCTGACCCGGGCTGGGTTTGAACCCACCAGCCTTGGCGTATGTGGCCAGTGTCCTACCCACTGAGTTACAGGTGCCGCCCACCAAGTATTACATTTCTGATTATAGTCATGTTAACAAACAAGTTCAAATTCTTTCTCTCAAGTCTAGCTGAACGAGGTAAGAAAATTACTAAAATCAAATGGCAGCCCTTTAGTGGCTGAGATGTTGCCACTTCACCCATCTACAGTATTGACTGAACATTTGCAGCCATTTAGAAGTGATGAACATGTTCTCTGCACTGGAACAAAACTCAAGACTAAAAGAACCCCATGAATATGCATAATATATAATATAATGGTACAGACACTTGTATAATAAAAAGTGCAACAGGGGATCGGGGAGAAGTGAGATCACTGGAATTATTTTTTAAAAAGGTCTTCAGAAAGCAGAATGGTTTAAAGTACATGAGATTAAGAAATAATCTAGCCTTCCCCCGTGCCTTGTTTATTCCTAGTCTTGGGGAAAAATTAAACTTTGTGCACAATTTGTCCACCATGTCGTAACCAACTAGTGATGCCAGAGCAATTCTGAAGAAGGCAGCTTGTTGCCTAGTGTAGTTTATCATGTGGTGTGTTACTGTCTCGTGTAGTTATAGACTAGGTTACAGTAATTTCCAAAACCCTAACCTCCCATGTCCTGAGCCTCTTCTCCTGTAGCTCGCTCCTGTTTTCACTCTTGCTTCTCAAACTCATACGCAGACGCTTCCAGTTCCTCAGAAGCATCTTGTCCCAGTCTTCCAGCCCACACTCTTCACCTCTTTCTTCCCAGTCTGCACCTCCTGGATGTGTCAGTCATTTGAGCTGCTCAGCTGCACTTCTGTGTTTTACAATCTCTCACTCTCAACATGGACAGATGCTCCAGCCCCTCTCTGTTCCCCCGTAGTGGCCAGGCACTGCTGGAGAGAAGCACAAACCGTGCCCTTTGGCATCAGGGTCTGCAGACTGGGTTGAGCTCTCAGTGGCTTCCTGCATCGCTTCCTTGTCCTTGCCACCTCTCCTGTTCCCTGCAGGTAGTCCAAAGTTTCGGTATTCTTCTCAGGCCTGCTCCCTCCAGCAGATAGAGTTGCCCCATTTTCCATACAAAACTATATCTACTATCAGACTTATCCTTTTCAAAATTCCTGCTCTCCCAGCTATAGCTTTAATAGGAAACACACCCCTACTGCCCTCCTGTCATTGAAGACAAAACATCCTTGCATTTGACACCCCGTCCACAGCCTCTTCCCTCTCTATCCTTCACATTACTTTCTCATTTTAGGCTCCTCTCAATGTCCTTTTAATCTTCCTATCAATCAATCAAGGTCTGAGATCGAAGGGACTCTAACCTTGGGACCCAAAGGAGTCACTCTGTATCTCAGCACTGTAATTTATTTCCTTATGTGCACTTCTGTTATCCGAAATCTGGTTTTGGATTTACTCATCTGTCTTTCCCTCCTCCCTTACCATGGTAGCTCCACAAAGTAAGAAACTGGTCTCGTTCATCCTTGTACAGTCATGCCTGGAATAGCTCTTGGCACATAGTATGTGCTCAATAAATATCTGTTGATTGGTTGAATAAATTTGTAGAGATCGAATGCCAGAAAAAAAAGCTAGTACAAGATTGGCTTAACAAATGCTTGCTGAGTATTTCTAGATAAATTTGGATGTTAGGATATTTTTTTCTCCTGATGACTCCTTGTAACCTAATGGACACTTTGATATTTCATTTTCCTGTTTATCACTTAGTTTTATTGCCATGATGTGGCAACACCTGAACCTTTTTATGCTTCCTTTAATGTTTTCTTACAAATACAAGAGAAGTCCACTTACATTAATACATTAGCAAATCTCTTACTTATTGAGCCAAAGATAAAAACTCTTCCCCTTTTCTGCACAAAACAACCAAAAGTATAATGTTGGGCTCACAGTGAGCGTTCATTAACTTTTCCTTAGTTAACTGTTTGTTTTCAAGTTTCTTTATCACTGGGGCGGTATCTATAATGAGAAACATCAGCAAGGAAAGCTTTTGTGAAATAATAGACGAGCAATGTTTATTAAATAGAGCCATAACAATTCATTAAAAATGTTCTTCTGTTTTTAGGAAAACTATTTCATCATAAAGCCTATGGATCACTGCCTCCTGTGTGTGTGCGTGGTGTCTTTGCCTGACCATCTCTGCCGGGATGACATCCTCTTGGGGGATGATGGTGGTTTTGTGAACAAATACACAGTAAATAGCGATGATTTTGGACTAAAGCAGGCAAAATCCAAAAAGAAATTACAAAATCACATCTTAGATTCAAAGAGCTTTAAAAGGTAAGGTTATTATATGAGTAGTATAACTGTTCTAATAATTATAGTCATTGTTCATGCATACTATTTTTTGTGTGTATATTTTTATATGTATAGACATTTATATGTAGTGAGAGAGAAAATAAGATGCCAGACCCCAAGGTAGACATTTAAGACACAAAGATGAAGAGGAGATGCTTCTTACCTCAAAGAATGTCTAGTATAAAAGGGAAGATAGGGAAATTAGCAACAGAAATTCCAATTTCAAGTGCTATTGGTAACTAAAACTTCTAAGTACTTGAATGGATTCAAGAGTTAAATGAAAAATTAAACTGTGAAAACCCTGTAAAAATATATGTGACTATTTACTGTCACTTGGATGGAGGAGAAGATTCTAAACATAAAAGCAATGTATGTAAGCATCACAGAAAAATCTTTAATAGATTTGACCATGTATGCACAAAATAAAACCTTCTGGACATGGGAAGATCACATTTAAAAAGTCAATAACAGAACTGGAATAAATAGTTATAACAAATATGACAATGTGTTGATGTTACTTGATAGGTCTTAATAGAACTCAAAAAATAATAATCTCTCAAGAGAAAAATGAACAGAGACCATGAACAGGTAATTCACACACATGTACACAGGAGTTTGAGGTTGCTGTTAGCTGTGATGCCACGCCACTCTACTGAGGGCGACATACTGAGACGCTGCCTAAAAAAAAGGAAGATTGGAAAGAAAGGAAAAGAAAAGGAAAGAAAGGGAAGGAAAGGAAAAGAAAAGATTAGGAAAAAATTAGAAAGAAACATAAAGAAGAAAATAAAAATCACTTCTCTGAAGACCTCTGGAACTCATCATTAATATTTTGGAATATACGCTCAATATTTTTCACAGTACAAATGGTCAATATCCATTTCAAAATGATAGAGAAGAAGGCTGACAGTTATCTCCAACTCACGATCATTCTCTCTCATGATGGGATGTCTTTGAAGTTTTTAGAGTAAGGTATACCCTACCTTTATTATTGGAAACATGTTAATTTTATATTGAATATGTCTTCATTATTAATCAAAGAAGTACAACTAAAAATAAGATATAACTTTTGACTTATAAAATTGGGAAAGATTAAAAATGAGGAATAAAAATAAATACCCACTGAGATGGATATTCCCAGGTACTGTTGTGTGTGAGGGAACCTAAGATCCCGATCACAGCATCATTCCTAATGGTAAATTATCTATTGTCCAGTAGTAGGAGAATGACTAAATAATTAGCACTTACATAAATAATTCAAATATATAAATAATATAAATATAACATAATATTAAAAATGAAGTTTATATAATATATTGATATATAAAACACATTTTATATATCACCTAAAAATACTTAAGGTATCAAGGATGTTCAATAAATCATTGTGTTAAAGAATATATTAAAGAATGCCATGAACCCATTAAACTGTTTTAAAATTTTAATAAGGTGGAAAATGTTCATGACATACTATTAAGTAACACATTATTTTTCTATGTACCTTTAAGTTCAATTTTATAAATATACATGTGTGTATGTATTTTTACTTAGAAAAATATTGAGTGTATATTCCAAAATATTAATAATGAGTTCTATGGGTCTTCAGAGAAGTGATTTTTATTTTCTTCTTTATGTTTCTTTCTAATTTTTTCCTAATTCTTTTCTTTTCTCTTTCTATCTATCTTTCTTTCTTTCCTTTCTTTCTTTTTAGTCAGAGTCTCACTATGTTGCCCTTAGTAGAGTGCTGTGGCATCACAGCTCACAGCAACCTCAAACTCTTGGGCTTAAGCAATTCTCTTGCCTCAGCCTCCCAGGTAGCTGGGACTACAGGCACCAGTGAAATACCTGGCAATTTTTTGGCTGCAGTTGTCATTGTTGTTCAGCAGGCCCAGGCTGGGCTTGAACCCACTAGCCTTGATGGCCAGTACCCTACTCAATGAGCTACAGGCGCTGCCTTCTTCCTTTTTTTATAACCAAAAAAATTTCAAATATAGAAGTATACTTTGTTATTAATGTAACAAATATTTTATCCTAGAGTTAGAATATGCAATTAAATGCTCATTACAACTGTTACTACATGGAATTAAGGCTAGTCCCATTGCTGGAACTCCAAGAATGATACAATAAACCACTGGCTCATTTTCCATCCTTCACATGTGAGCAGTATTAGATAGTCTCCCCAAAGTAGTAGGCATAGTGGGGGACTTTCCCAGATGTGAGGTGCTGCTCTCTGTACCATCAAGCATTGAATTCCAGTCACGGTAGGCTGTTCAAATAGATGCTGAGACATGAATCTCCTCTTTGCTGGATGTATCCAACCTGTCATAAAATCTCACAGCCCAATTTCAATCTCTGTTTTCATTAGATAGATGTGTCAAAAATGAGATTTAGGGATCTAAGGAATTTGAGGAATCTGAGTACAGTTAAATGAATTAGTTACCTGAATTATTATTTTACATATAAATATAAATATAAATGATTTAAATAGTTCAAGACTGAGGTATATGTACAGGCTGAGTGTTGAGGCTTTTTTTTTTTTTGAGACAGTCTCACTTTCTTGCCCCTGGTAGAGTGCTGTGGCATCACAGCTCACAGCAACCTCAAACTCTTAGGCTCAAGCAATCCTCTTGCCTTAGCCTCTCGAGGAACTGGGACTATTGGTGCCCACTACAACATCCAGCTCTTTTTAGATAGGAAGTCTTGCTCTTTCTTGCTCAGGCTGGTCTCAAATTCCTGAGATCAAGTGATCCATCTGCCTCGGCTTCCCAGAGTGCTGGGATTACAGGTGTGAGCCACTGCACCCAGCCCTACTGAGGCATTTTTCTCATGCCAAGAGAGCCTCAAATCTGGCAGAATGAAAAGTATTAAGATGAAAAGAGTAATTAAGTTCTGGAGCTGTCACACAAGTTTTCCCAAAGCTATCATCCACAGAATTCATTCATACTGAGGGGGTGGAGCTTATAAGAGCAGCAAACGCTGATATGCAAAATACTGCACAAATTAAAGAAAGAAGGAATCAGCGTCCAGAGTTTAAAATTAAACACAGTCTGGCGTGGAAATAGAAATCTCTCTCTCTGAGCTGGTCAATGCCGTGTTGTAGAACTTTCATGCCTTGAGTCATAAGCGTGTCTGTCTATTCCTCAACTAGAATTTAAAGAACTCGGAGACGGCAGGTGGACAATGAACATTTGTGAAGAGGAGACAAACCATTAAATAGGAGTAAATACAGTAGGTTATTAAGTATAAAATGCCCAATTTCCTTAGATACTTTAGATACTAACTTTGACAGTTGGTGTCTCTTGACATTTCACTTTGATACTGCTGTTTTATTTTTATTGTGACAGTACAGCCTCATTCTCTCAAATGCATGTTTTGGGTTTTGATTATCTTTCAAAAAAAAATCTTAGAGCAATTTTTGTAAAATCATGGATAACTCAAAAATGTGTGTTATTTTTGAATTGAGTCTCATGAAACAAATGCAGCACAAACAGCTTGAAATATTGACAAAGTGTTTGGCAAGGATGTGGCTAATGAACACACAGTATGTGGCTGGTCTGAGAAATTCTGTTTTGGTGATTTTAATCTTGAAAATAAGCCCTGGGGGATGGTGGACTTGAATCCATCTTAACCTGCATGTGAATTAGCAGCGACGTTTGATGTTACTGTTCTGACAATATTGAGCCATTTGAGAAAAATTGGCAAGGAAAAGAAGGTGGGTAGATAAGCTCTGCATGAATTAAAGGAGCATTAGAAGAGAAATAGTCTCAAAGCTTGACTTGCTTTGCTGTCATGACACAAAGGTGAATCATTTCTGTATTATATTGTTACATAGGGTGAAAGTGGATTTTCAAAGACAGTCTCAAGTGTTTGGCACAATGGCTAAATAAAAATGAAGTGCTGAAACACAGAACAAAGCTAAATATTTGTCCAAAAAAACCCTAATGGTGTTTGTTTAGTGGTCCAGCACTGATATTTTCCACTACAGCTTCATGAATCCCAGTCAGTTGATTAGATTACAGTGGATATCTACTGCAATCCATTGAAAAAAATGATGAAGATTCTGTGATTAAGCAGCTGTGATTGGTCAATAAAGACAAGCCAATCCCCTTGCAAGACAAGGCTCCACCACATGTCACACAAACAAGCTGCTAAAACTGTGGACGCCGGACTCGTGAACTCTGTCATCCACCATGTTCACCAGAATTTGCACCAACTCACCACCACTTCTAGGTTTTGAACCACTTCTTACCAGCAAAAATATTCAGTTATCAACAAGCTATACAAAAAGCCTTTTGTGACTTCATTGCCACTCACTTTCCAGGCTCATCTGCTGCTGCCTTACACAGGCTGCCACTCAGATGGCAAAACCGTGTTGATAGTTTAGGCTCATACTTTAATTATTGTACTGCTTCTTATTTGAGATAAACTAGACTCAGCTTTTGATTCAAAAATCAGACATTTCATATTTCGTGACACCTTGAAGATGGCTTCTCCCAGGTTAAAACAGAATTTTGAGGCAGAGGTTTGGTCTCTGTGAACAAGATGCTTTGTGAACAGATGGGCAACCTCTGACAAGGAATATAAAGGCTATCCTAGCCTCAGCCTCACCAGCGAACTGGGATTATAAATTTCCCCATTCTTCAGTTTTGAAAGTATTAACAAAAAATAGAAATGCAGGGTGGTGCCTGTGGCTCAAGAGTAGGGTGCCGGCCCCATATGCCAGAGGTGGTGGGTTCAAACCCAGCCTAGCCCTGGCAAAAAAAAAAAAAAAATAGAAATGCAAATATATTTTTCAAATGAATTGACTCAATGAGCAGCTATGAACAGTAGAGTACATATGTCTTTATGATAAAATGATTTTTTCTTCTGGGTAGATACCTACTAGTGGAATTGCAGGATCAAGTGGAAAGTCTACTTTCAGTTCTCTGAATACACTCCATGCTTCTATTCAAAAAGGCTATACTAGTTTATAATGCAACCAACAGTGCATAAGTATATCCTTCTCTCTGTACCCACACCATTATCTATAACTTTGGGACCTTGTGATGTGAATATTCTCAGTGCTGTTAGGTGGTATCTTAAGGTTATTTTGATTTGCATTTCTCTGATGGTTAGGGATGATGAGCACTTTTTCATATGTTTGTTGGCCATTTGACTGTTTTCTTAGGAAAAAGTTCTGTTCAGTTGCTTGCCCAGTGAGTGACGGGGTTGTTGGCTCTTGTTGATTTGCTTGAGTTCTTTGTAGATTCTGCTTATTAGCTCTTTGTCCTATTTGTGAATATCTTCTCCCATTTTGAAGGTTGTCTACTTGCTTTATTGATTGTGTACTTTACTGTGAAGACATATTTTAACTTGATCAGGTCCCATTTATTTATTTTGGTTGTTGCCACATGGCTAATGGAGTCTTCTGCATTGATTCTTTCCCAAGGCTAATATCACCCAAGTGCTCATCACTCCATGAATGGATTAAAAAACTGTGTATACCATGAAATACTATTCATCCATAAAAAAGATGGAGAGTTTGCATCTTTTGTATTTACCTGGATGGATTTGGATTTGGAGATAACCTAAGTAAAGTATCCCAAGAATGGAAAAGCAAGCATCCCATATGTTCAGTACTGGCCTGAAACCAGTAGATCAACAACTACAGGCCCACATGAGAGAAAGACACAGTTAAATTCAAGAAGGGGAGGGGGAGAAGAGGACTGGATAAGTTCCCATCTATAGGGTACAATGTAGTGGTATATGGCACACTTCTTGGGTGCAGGACTCAACTGCAACTTGGACTTTGGACTTTACCTTACAAAAGCAAATAATGTAACCTAATTGTATGTACCCCCATGTTAACCTGAAAAAAAAGAAGAAGAGAAGGAAAAAAATGAATTGACTCATATAAGATATAAAATTATAGGCTTAGCACCTGTAGTTCAGTGGCTAGGGCACCAGCCACATACACTGGAGCTGGTGGGTTCAAATCCAGCCCAGGCCTGCCAAACAACAATGACAACTACAACCAAAAAATAGTTGGGCACTGTAGTGGGTACCTAGTCCCAGATACTTGGGAAGCTGAGGCAAGAGAATTGCTTAAGCCCAAGAGTTTGAGGTTGCTGTGAGCTATTGATGCCACAGCTCTCTACCCAGGGTGACATAGTAAGACTCTCTAAAAAAAAAAAAAAAAAAAGATATAAAATTATATGAAACATAGTGTTCCACATGGATGATTGCATTTATTTAGTAAAATAAGGACAATAGTACCAATATTGGGCTTTGATTCTTTGAGATTATTCTTTTACTTCTGGGTTTATACCTTAAAATTTGGTGATAGTCTCCTAAAATTATTTCTCCACTTTAAATATGCTGATTATGAACATTTAGTTAAACAGTTAAAAGTGATATAATGTATAGGTCTGTATTATACATTCAGGTTCAGCACAATTCAGAGTTACATTCAGTTAAAGTCAAGATAAAATACTGAATAGAAACTCAACCTCAGATGTTTATGTGTCTGACTTAACTCCCTTCCACCCATTTTTCAATTCCCAGTGTTAAAAGGAAGCTACATAATGACTGGGTCATGAAAGTTAGATATATTCCAGCCCTAAACTGCTTTGGATCCTGCTCCTTAGACAGTGTTCACTCATTGGTTTTGGAAACCTTGAAGAGACTGGAGGATAATATGTAAGTACAATAGTTTATACCCAGGGACATTCTGTGACTTTCAGACATTTAACAGTGATATGGCAGCTTTGGAACTGTCAAACTGGTTTTAAGAAAAATCATAAGGTTAACTGTTTCATTTGTTTGACAAGGCTAAATAGATTTTTTTTCAGGAGGAAATTGAATTCCCTCCCGAAAATTTGAACATAATATGTACTCCTAACAATTTTGCTCATTTGTTGATTATTGCTATCATCTACTAAAATAAATCAATGCAGATGTATTTATAACTATATTTTCAATATATAGTTAGTTCTGGCATAAAACTTTATTCTTACAAGTCAGTTGGCAAGCCAGTCACCTATCAGTATAATCTGTAGAACAATCATGATTCATGTGTAATACACAAGATGGCATTCTTACAGGAAGGTGAATTCAAATACCGTTCAGTTTTATTTTCAATCTGTTAAATATTTATTAGTATCTAGAAAACAACTATTGTATTTCAATTTTTGGTTTTAAAAATGCATTACAAAACAGATAAATGTCAAAAACATTATGCTAAGTTACAGAAGCCAGACATAAAAAGACTGCATATTTTTGTCCATTTTTGTGTAATGTTGAAACACAGAGAAGTTATAGAGACAGAAGGTGCATCAGTAGTTGCTAGAACTGGTAGCAGGAGCAGGGATTCCAAATGGGCACCAGGGGACTTTCTGTGGTGACAGAAATGTTTTACGCTTATTGTGGTGACTGGCGATTGTTACATAACTCTATAAATTTATTAAGAATTGCTGAATTTTACATTTACAATGAGTGAGTTTTATGCATGTAAATATGATATTAATATAAATTAAAGTATTGCATACTCCAATAAAGATGGCTTAGAAAAATGCTTTGGGACTTTTGGCTTCCAGTCAGGTATGTCAGGAGCTTGGAAGCTGTTAGTCCATCCTAACAGTAAGTAAAAACTACATAATCTAATGGTTTCTACCCTCCTATTAATCTGAAATAAAAAAAAAAAAGAAAAGAAGACATAACAATCATTGAACTTGTCTGCACCTATAAACAGAGTATCAAAATCAATGACACAAAAACTGATCAAACCTCAAGGAGAAATAAATAAATCCACTATTATAGCAGAGGAGACTTCAATTCTCCTTTATCCAATCCAGGAAACAGAAAGTCAGTAAGGACAGTTGAACTTGACAACACTGTCAATCAACTGGCTATAACTAACATCTATAGACTACTTCATCTAACAACAGCAAAATATGCATTCTTCTCAAGCTCACACGAAATTTTCTCCATGATAGACCAAAGTCTGGGTCATTCAACACTCCTCAAAAAAATTTAAAAAGCATAAATCATACAATGTATGCCCTCAGATCACAATAGAATTAAACTAGAAAGATAATTGGAAAATCTCTAATATATGTGGAGATTAAACACACTTCTAAGTAGCATGTGGATCAAAGAAAAAATTTCAAGAGAAATTAAAACTTATTTTCAACAAAATAAAAATACAACTTACTCAAATTTGTAGTATACAATGAAAGTTGTGTTTGGAGGGAAATTTATAGCACTGAATGCACATACTAGAAAAATGATAAACATTGATCATCTAGACTCACCTTAAGAGACTAGAAAAGAAGAACAAATTTAAATCCAAAGTAAGCAGAAGAAGAGACATAATAAAAAACAGAGCAGAAATTAATGAAATAGGGGGAAAAACAGTAGAAAAATCAATAAAATCAAAGCTTACTTCTTTGAAAAGAATAATACATGTATAAAATTATAATCCTCTAGATAGGCTAAATAAAGGAAAGAAGAGATAAGGCACAAATTAGTAATACTATAAATGAAAGATAAACTAACACTACAAATTTCAGGAACATTAAAAGGATAATAAAGGAAAATTATTAACCACTGAAAACAGCTACAAATTTAACCTAAATGAAACAGAATAATTCCTTTAAGATACAATCTTCCATATTCATACATAAAGAAATAGACGATGTGAAAAGGCCCATATCTATTAAAGAAATTGAATCCAAATTAATAATCTTTCAAACAGAAAACCAGGCTTAGATGGGTTCACTGGTGAATTTCATCAAGCATTTAAGGAAGGAATAACACCAATTCTTTCTGCTCTCTTTCAGAGGATGGAAACAAAGTACTCTTAACATTACCCTAAGGCCAAAACCACACAAAGTTATTACCACAAAAGAAAACTAAAGACCAATATCTCTTATGAACATAGATATAAATATCATCAATAAATCATTAACAAACCCACACGTGACAGCATAAAAAAAGAATTATACACCACCACTGTTATTAACTAAATGTTTGTGGACTCCCAAAATTTTATTTTCAAATCCCATCTTCCAAAATGATGGCATTTAGCATGTGGGTCTTGGAAAGATAATTTAGGTCGTAAAGTTAGAGCCCTCAGGAATAGGATTAGTACATTTATAACAGAGCTCCAGACAGTTCTCTAATCCTCTTTCTGCTGTGTGAGGATAGGAGAAAATGGTCATTTGGAATGTAAAAGACAGCTCTTGTCAGAACCTGAGCACACCAGCACCCTAGTCTCCAGCTTTCAGAACTGCCAGAAAAAAAATCACTTCTTGTTTGAGCTAAACAGTCTATGATACTTTGTTACAGAAGCCTGAACTAACAAACCTACAGGGATTTATCCCAAGTATGCAAAGCTGGTTCCATATTCAAATATCAGTAAAATTCTTCACATCAACAAGGTAAAAAAGAGAAATTATAGGCTCATATCAGTTCATGCAGACAGAGGATATGGCAAAATTCAAAAAGCACTCAATAAAAACTCTCAGCAAAGTAAGGATAAAGGAAACATCCTTTTGGGTAGACAGATAACATCTACCAAAAAAATACACAATTAATGTCATACTTAAGGTGACAAACTCTGATTTGGCCCACTAAGATTAAGCATGAAGCCAGGATGCTCCCTTTCACCACTAATTTTTCACCAAGGCATTGGAAGTCTTAGTTAATGCCATAAGATAAGAAAAGAAACTAAAGTTATAATGATTGTGAAGGAAAAAATAAACCACCTTCTTTCAAAGATATAGTTGTCTATGTAAAAAATCCAAAAGAATGAGCACATACACACACAAAAAAACCCCTCTCAGAACTAATAAGTACTTATACAACTTTGCATGATGCAAACTTAATGTCTAAAGTCAATAACTTTCCTATATTCCATCAATGAATAATAAATTTTAAATTAAAAACACAAAATTTACATTCACACCCAAAATAAAATAATTAGCTATAAGTCTAACAAAATATGCGCAAGATATATGTACATCTATGAGAAAAAGTACAAAACTCTAATGAAAGAAATCAAAGAAAAATTAAATAAATGGAGAGATAGTTCATGTTCATGGATAGGAAGACTCAAAATTGTCAAGATATCAGTTTTTCTCAATTTGAGCTATAGTTTCAGTGCTATCCCAAATGAAATCCAGCAAGATATTTTGTGAATCTCAACAAACTGATTCTACAGTTTATAAGGAAAGGCTAAAACCTAGAGCAGTCGACACAATAGTGGAAGGAAAGGATGAAGTCAGAGGGATGACAGGTCCAGACTATTATAAAGCCAGTAATCGTGCCGGTGTAGTATTGGCGAAGGAATAGAAAAATAGATCAATGAGGCATAATAGAGCATGAAGACATAGAGTCACATAGTCAAGTGATTTTTTTTCAATATAAAAGTATAAATTTATTTCATATTAGAGAAAGTGAAGAGAGTGGGGGGAGAGATGAGAAGGAGAGAGAGCAGAGAGTGAGGGGGCAATCGAGTGATCTTTGACAGTGGAGTAAAGGCACCATGACGCGGCCAAAGTCTTCTTTTCAACAAGTGGTGCTGGAATCACTGGACTATATAGCATGCAAAAAAGAAACCAGGCACAGATTTTATTTACACTTTTCAGGAAAATTAACTCAAAATTGATCACAGACCTAAACGAAAATGCAGAGTTATAAAACTCCTAAAAGGTGATGGAGGAGAACAATCTAGGTAACCTTGACACAATATCGAAGGTGTGACTGAAGAAAGAAAGAATTGATAAGTGTACTTCATTAAAATTAAAAATGTCTGCCCTGCAAAAGATACTGTCATGGGAATGAGAAGGCAAGACAGGATGGAAGAAAATATTTGAAAAAGAGACATTTGATGAAGGACCGTTATCCAAAATGTATGAGGAACTTTTAAAACTCAACAAAATAAAAAAATCAACCCAGTTGAAAAATGGACAAAAAATCTGAACAAAGACCTCAGTTCTGTTGAGTTTCTGCTAGTAAACATAAGAAAAGATTCTCAGCACTGTATGTCATTACGGGCATGTCAATTAAAACAAGATACCACTGCAGACATGTTAGAATTGTCAAAATCCACAACACTAACACCACGAAATGCCAGTGGAGATGCAGATGACAGGAACTCTCTCATTCATTGCTGGTGGTAACACAAAAATTGCACAGCTGCTTTAGATGACAGTTTGACAGCTGCTTACAAAACAAAACATACTCTTACCACATGATCCTGCAATCACAGAGCTTGGTGTTTATCCAAAGGAGCTGAAAACATATGTCCACAGAACAACCTGTACATGGATGTGTGTTGCAGCTTTATTCATTATTGCCGAAACTTGGAAGCACCCAAGATGTCCTCTAGTAGGTGAACTGATAAACCAACTGTGGTTATCCAGGTAGTGGAATAGTAGCACTAAAAACATATGAGCTATCAAGCCATAAAAAGACGACGTGAGAATCTTAGATGCATAATTATTAAGGGAAAGAAGCCAATCTGAAAAGGCTGCGTACAGTAGGACCTCAACCAGATGAGGTTCTGGGAAAACCAAAACTGTGGCGACAGTATGAAGATTAGTGGCTGCCAGGAGTTTAGGGGGAGAAAGGGATAAAGAAAGTGGAGCCTAGGTTTGTAGGGCAAACCTACAGAAGGTACAACAGCAAGTGTGACC